CCGGCCTGCGCCCTGCCCGGGACGCGCGTCGCCCAGCGGCGCTCTCGGCGAGCCTCAGCCGCAGGGCGGTCGCCTCTCCGCGGCTGCAGCGCGCAGGCCGCCCGAGGACGGGTGGCGCGCTGCTCCGGCCGCGAAGTCGCGCGCAGTCCGCGCAGCGCGACCCGTGCCGGGTGGGCAACGTGACGACTCACTAACGGCGCGCGCCGTCGGACTCCCGGAGCCACCGACGAACGAAGAACGCAGGAGCAGCGACGGCAACGAAGAGAAGCCCGGAGGGAAGGAAGGGGGCCGGGGAGAAGCAGGCCCTCAGGGCCCCTCCAAGCACCGGTAGATGGGGGCGTTCAGGTCCTGGTGGGGGCCGCATCCCAGAGGGCGGCGCTGCAACAGAGAAAACGCGCGGCCGGGGCCGAGGCCGGGTTTCCCACCAGACGGTGGACTTCAGCTCCCAGAATTCCCCAGCCAACCCTGGTCCAGACAGAGGGCGCTGTGCAATCGGAGGCACTCGGAGCAGCCAACGAGGAATGTCGGATCGGGTCAGCCAGGTAGATCTAGGGAGGCAGGCAGTCCCCAGTTCCTCGAGGAACCAGGCCCTGTGCCGCGTAGGGCCTTGTGGGTACTGAGGCAACTGGAAGCACACTGGCAACTAGTGCACCTCATGAAACAGAGGCGTTACACGGGCATACCAAAGCATGCCCATCACTTTCCGTGCTGCATATTGTTTATAATTTAATGTGCAAATTAAAATTGCAGCGAAAAGCAACAGCAACCGCTCAGATCTCCAAATCCCAGCAAAATAGAACTGTCTTCGCTGCCCTTCGGAAACTCAAGGATGTGGGAGCCATCTGGCCTTTGGGCACAAGCTGTGCCACAATGATGGGGCAGCCATTCAGAAGGCCTGCTCCAGGCCCTGCTTCTCTCGCAGGGAGGGGACCTGAAACATTCTCTCCCTGATTAAATGTACAGGTTGGGCAGATTCTGTTGGGGGGGGTCATGGTCCCGCAGGTAACGGGATCTTAGCCAAGTTGGGCTTTCTATGTTAATCCCAGCACTTTGAATGTTAAACTGAAACCTGTTGGCATGCACAAAACAGGTTACGCTGCTAAAGCTGCTCTCAAGTGGGCAGCTCATTTTACACCAGCTGTAGTCTCCAGGTCAAGTACGTGGCACTCGTGCTGAGGGACAGGAGGGGCACTGTTGCTAAGGCAGCCTGCTCCAAAAAGGGCCTCAATTGGTGCACCAGCCAGTCAGGCAAAGCCCCTGCCCCAGACTGCACCTGCCTGTTTGAGCAGGAGCCGGGCGTCCAGGGCATCTCCTAGGTGGCGGGTCTGCTTGTTCAGGGGCAGCATGACACCATCCAGAGCTAATGTAGGAGTAGGCGTGGTGCCAGATGATATCCACCTGAACAGTGCCTCCATTTTGCATGGGTTCAGTTTTAGCTTGTTTCCTACCATCCAGTCCCTCACAGCCTCCAAATCCCAGGTGACAACTCCCACGGCATCTCTAGTTTGGCCTGGGGTTATTGTGTAACGGAGCACCATCAGCATCCCGATGATACCCCACCTCAAGCTGACAACAGAGCTCTCTCACTGGTTTCGTAGAGCGATTAAATAGAATTCAGAGAAGTGAGCCCTGTGGCACCCCACAAAGGCTTGGCTTGGGAAAGAGTGGAATATGGAGAAAGGCTGCTTGGGAACACTCTCATCCACCCCCCTTGTTACCTCTGAGGTCCAGAGCAGTGGAATTGCCTGCTGGAGCACTGGGAAAATTCCCAAGTGCTTCTAAAAAACAAGTGGATCCATAATCTTATGGGTCCTCTACCCCTGCAGGGATCTAGGGTGTCCATAGCCTCATGGTGACCAGGAAGTGATCTGAGCATAGCAAAGGAGTGATCCACCGTGTCCTCCCTGACAAATATCAGGCTGTCTGCTCCGAAAACCTGGCTTAGCATGTGGGGCTCATTTAGTTGGGCCAGGTAACACATAGTATAAGCTCATGGAAGCCAGGAAGTCCCGAACCTGTCCAGGTCCTTCCTCAGCTTTTTTTAAACCTAAGCAAGTTCACAATGTTAGAAATGAGCTTTCAGGTTATGTGGAATTATCTCGGGGGGGTTGCTTCATTTTTGGGAGCACGTGTGCTGTTCTTCATTGCCATGTCAAACCCAGATATAATTATGCTTGCTGTTTAAACATTTGAATTACTTTTCAAATTAATTATGACAGCTACTTAACAATAGTTTTGTCTTCTAGCTGAAAGAAAAGCTGGCCTTATTGAAAAGAGAATACAACAAAACATTCCACCGGTTGCAGGTAGGTAAATTAATGTGACTCTCCAGAGCTGCTGAAGGACAATCTCTTCATTTGGAGAATGCTTAAGGAGCAAAAATCAGCAAAAAATTTAAGATGGGAGGCTGTATAAATCTTTTAAATAATAAGTAAATAAATAAATAAATCATTGCTTATTGACTAATAGAGCAGCCAAGTGTGATTACTACCCCTCTTCGTTTTCACAGCGTGCTGAAAGAGCTGTGAAGGTTAAAAATTACATCAAGAAAACAGTTGCAGAGCAAAACCTGCTGCTTGCACAGGAGGAAACTGCAAAGAACCATGCAGGTAATACTGAGACAGCATCTGTTGGGCTCTTTGTAGAAATAACTGGGGTGAGGGTCTCTTTCTGAAGGATCTCAGGAGGTGGTAGGGCCTAGCTGACTCTGTCTGGTCAGATCTGGTTAACCCTTGGAGGGAAACCTGGGGTGCTGCAGTTGTAGATGAGGCTGTGAAGTTGAGAAGATGCCCCAGAAGTAGGAACAGCAAACTGCTCCCATATGGTTGACCAGAAGTCACCAGGACTTGAAGGAGATTTTACTGTGAGTGTCTCTGGAGCCACGTGTTTGGGTTGACCTTCCACACCATGGAATCACTCCGCCCTCCTCCAAGCCTGAGTGCTCTGGAGAGTTTTGTAAGAGCTGAGCTGCTGCTTCGACTGGAGGTGGGGAGTAAGAAGGTGACCTTGAAGGAGGCAGGCAAGGTCTGTTACTAGGGCAACAAGGGGGAAACGTCTCTGAAGTCCAAGGCAGGCAGGTAGGGTTTGTAAGTGACGCAGGCAGGCACCTCCCTGATTCACAAGAATATAAGAAAGGGGAGGAGGTACAGCAAATCAGGCTTGCAAGATGCTGTTAATGAAAGTGGTTTTAGCCTTCCTGTGGGGTGGATTTCCTGGTCTGGTCTGGTCTGCCTGGTGGGGTGCAGGGCTGAGGCAGGAAAGAATAGAGAAGGCCAACCGACCAGAGTGATTTTATCCTGTTGTTTGCAGTGTGCTCCATGCCTTTACCGGGATCCTTAATCAGTTTGCTTCTCCTTCTCTAGAGCTTTTTGAGTGGCTCCTTTCCCACCTACAGGCTAGTCTGGGAGTTGCCCTTTACTTTAGCACATTCAAGGAGGCAGATGTTGAGGGAGAGAAAAGCTGGAGCGGAAGGTGGCCTGACAGCTGTGCTGCTACTTTCCTCTGCATCCTGTGTGCAGGGTAGTTCTGAGGATATGGTCCCTGCTTGCCAGTTTTGCCCAGGCACCAGAAACCAAGATTTAACCATTTTAAGTTAAATCCCTTGTGGAATGCTCCTGCTTGACAGATACTCGCACTATTGCAAAATGCCAGGCACAGAACTGAGCCGTGAGGGAGAGATGCACTTGTCATCTACACGAAGACAGTTATCCCTGGCCCCTCCCCGTGCTGAAGGTAGACAAGAGTCACTTTGAAACCAGGAGCAGAAGCAGTGAATCAAGGCTGGGAAAGGCACAGGGCTAACATGGTTCCTCACCAGCCTCTCCTTCAAGTTTGGACTTTCAAGAAGCTGGAAATCCTAGAGCCGGAAGAAACCTTATTGGTTGACAGTCCTTTAGATTTCTGAAGTCTGCTGTTGTATCTCCCCTTAGTCGTTTCTTCTGTAGGCTCAGCATACCAATAACTCTTCCTCATGGAGGTCTGATTTTCTGGGAGCCCATCTCAGAACTCACTCCAGTTTGTCACTCTCATTTCTAAATTCTGGGGCTCAGAACTGGATACAGTACTCCAAATGGGGGCTGACCAGGGTAGAGTAGCATAGAACAATTCGTTCCTATAATCGGGACTCAGTGCTCCTATTAATGCACTCCAGGATAACATTTGCCCCTTCAGCAGTTGCATCCCTCTGCTGGGTCGTGCTGACTTGTAGTGGGCGAGGAGACTCAGATCCTTTTTACAGGCACTACTGCCAAACTAGGTTTCCCCCATCCTATATTTTTGCCTTTCATTTTTCCTATCCAAATGCAGAATTTTATATACGTCCCTGTTAAATCCCATGCTGTTCTTTTCAGCCCACTGCCTGTTTCAGTCTTTTTGAATCTTCTCTTTGTTGGAGGGGAGCCAGGTTAGTCTATGGTGGCAAAAAATCAGGAGGAGTCCGGTAGCACCTTTTCTGACTAACAAATGTATTAAAAGGCAGAAGCTTTCCTTAGCTGCAGCTCACTTCATCAGCTGCACAGAGTGGTTAGATTGACACGGGATTTAAACTGGGGTGAGACAGGGAAGGGAGGGTGGTTGGGCAGGTGCAGGTTGTACATTTACAGGCAACGTTGCTGCCTCTTTTGATTCCTGAACCCAAACTGAGTCGGACGAATCAATGCTCTGTTTGTGCGTGCTCCTGTTGAAACAGCTCAGCTTCTCATGCCTGAAGTCTCTTCAACGAGACTTTTCTAACAAACGCTCCTTTTACAGCATTCTATCGCTTTCTGCTCTGGGTCAGAGATGCTTAATTCTGCTGACCTGTGTGCTTCCCAGGGTGAAAGAAGCTACCCAATAATTTTTCCTTTGCAGGAGGCCTCAGTCAGTTATCTCCAGGGCCCCTGGAGGAGGGTCTGGCTGAAATCTGCTCCGAGAGCAGCACCGCAGAGGCCACGCCAGTCCTCTTGACGCCTGAGGCCTCGGAAGGTGGCTTGCCAGAAATGTCAGGCTCCAGAAGTAGCCATCAGGCTGGCAGAAGGGTACTCTTTGTGGAACCTCCTCCTGGGAGAAATTGTGGGCTGCGCTCAACCAGTAGGACCACTGGGCAACGGAGAGGAATGCTCTCTTTGGCAAAGAGAGGAGAATCGGTGTGGGAGGCGCATCAGAGAGATACTGGCGGCCAACTGGAGCATGAGATGGCCGTGGCCCAGGGCTCAGGGTCGCCAATCTTTAAGAGAAGAAGCAACATCTCAGAAACTGGCCAGAGGAGCCCCCCAGAATCGTCGTTGCCAACTAGCAAAGGAGGAAGCAGCAATGTTAATTCTCTCATGCTACACCCAGACTGTGAACAGGGGATGTTGGTGCAAACTGATGTTCCTGGGGTAACGCAGCCCCTTCCTTGGGTCCTGTCAAATGCAAGTCAAGTATCCTTACTAGACTACCTGAGCGAAGAGAACATTTCTGGTTTGGATGACTCAGCTGCTATGAATATTGCATTATGCACAAATGTGCAGAATGAGGAGAAAGAATCTGTCCAAATGGAAGAGGGGCACCGATGGATGGGCAAGAGAGATCCAGGAAGATTAGCAGACCTAGCAGTGACCAATGATGCCGTCCAAGGAGACAAAACTCTTCCTGATTTGCATAGAAATGACATTGATAATGGCCGCCCCCCCACCAAGAAGACAAGTGGAAAGGACAAAGGGCCCAATCTTGAAATTGGGTCACCTCCCCTGGAAGGGGTCACTCCCAATAAGGGGATGCTGAGCTCTTGCACAGTAGTTGAGGGACTCATGTTTCCAGTTGAATATTATGTGAGGACGACACGGCGACTCTCCAGGTGCCAGAAGGAGGTGAACCTGGAGGCGGTCATTCAGAGCCACCTGGGAAGGGGCAGAAAAGGCCGGAGGGTGATGCACAGAGGGCAGGCAGTGAATCCGGCCCTGTCCTCCCCAGAGCTCCCCCAATGTGGTGATCGGCTGAGCTTGCCTCCTGGGGCGCCTGGGGACGCTTCTGCTCAGTCCCCCTGCCTCTCTCCAAAGAGCGCTGGGTCCGGTAGAGGCCATGTGCGGTGCAGGAAAGGGCAGCGGCTGAGAAGGAGGACCGAGCGGACGACTTCCCTCAGTATATGTCAGGCTCTCTTGGAGAACCCAGAGGGGGCGCTCCCCGGAGCATTTGTTGATCCTGTGGAAGAATTTCACAGGGGGAAAGAAAACTGCTTGCACGGAAGCAAGGCAGCCGTGCTCACGCCTGCAGCAGCTGGTAGCCCCTTGGGCAGCAAGCAGAGTAGCAGGGAAGGGCTAGAGGGGCCAGCCCCTTTGGCCAGCATAAGCCAGGGGGCTGAGCTCCAGAAGGTCCAGCGTGCTCTCCCCAGCAGTGGAAGAAGCCAGGAAGGCAGTGGTGAACTGCATCTCTCTGCAAGGAAGCCTTCTGGACAGACCGGGGATCCCCGTCACATCAGTCCCAGGCTGGTCCAGCAGGGTAAGCCCTCTTCGCCCCCGTTGGAGATGCTGGCGGCCTCCCTGGGACGCAAGGCAGGGCCGTCTCCCAAGGGACCGCCCAGGCCGTCTTCCTGCAGGGTTTGATGGAAAACCCGGGTAGTGTCGAGAGCATATGCCCACCTGCGCTAAGGGCAGCGCTTCCCCGGCAGGCAGGACGGATCCTAAAGCTGGGTTCTGTAAGGACGCCCTCTGGGGTGGCAAGGGGGTATGTTTGAGGGTGGGATGAGGAGGAGTGAGCTGCTTGTAGTTGTAAATTAAGGCACATGCAGCACACCAGCCTTGCCCACCATTCAAAGACCACGTGTATCTTTAAGCGGCGTGCAAGGCTGAGGGCTGCTGGTGGCGTGGGGTAATGGGTCACCATCCTGCCTCTGTAGGTGTTGCAGAGATGAACATGGGAAAGTCTTGTAAGCCAGCGGCTTGGGGGCTCAGCAGATTGAGGTTGGGGTCTTGCAAAGGTTCCCTCCAGCTGCTTGTTCCGTGTTTGCAGATGGAAGAGGCCACCCGCCCGTGGGCTCCCAGAGCCCTGCTTCTCCAGGCTTCTTGAGGGTGGATTCTGCTGTGGCGGCTTTGCCTTTCCTCACCCAGGACCGTGAGGGGTCCCGCCTTGGTTGGCTGCCTCCCAGCCTGGCCTCCCAGGAGTTCCACCTCCCTGATGAGGAATTTGGCCACCTGAAGTCCAAGAAGCTCAAAGTCTGTCCCAAGAAACCGTTGGGGATTTGGGATGCTGGTGGATCCAGCGAGGGCCCTCCGCGCACCGCTGGTGAGGCTTCTCTCGAGGAAGGAGCAGTGTCAGGACAGAACCTTGTTTCCGGAATGAAAGGGACGCCCCTGGTGCGCTCTCCCCGTGAGCTGCTCCTTTCCCCAGCCTTGGAAGGTGGACAGAGCCTGTTGCAGTTCCCGATGCCCACCCCGGATTTTCCTTGTTTGGGGGCAACCCCGGCTTCCCCAGCTCTGCAGCGCAGGGAGCCCTCCCCGGGTGCGTTTCGGGTTTCTCCTTTCCAAGCAGCTGTGGCAGCTTCTTCCTTCCCGGAAAGTGGCACCAGGCTGCCTCGCTCACCAGGCCAAGTTGGGATCGGCGGGGAGGCCGGGGAGGAAGCCGCCAGCCTTCAGGAGAAGCAGCTCCCAGCTGAGAAGCCAGCTGAGCGTGACAAGGAGCCCGCCCGACAGGTAAAGGGGGTGCATCCCGGACACACAGGCTGCTGAGGCGAAACAGTCACCTTGGGAGGAGGCAAGGAGGGCACCAATGAAAGTCTTGGCAGAGAATCTTTCTAAGCTGGGGGCTGTGTCTGAGTCTCCCTTTGCACCCTCCCCCAGCACATGGCTCCTCTGGGTTGTGGCTGGCTTAGTTCCCCAAAGCCCCTTATCTGGTGGTCATTTCTGTGCACGGTCTGTTTCTCCCCTGCCCCGGGCTCTGTGTGTCCATTCCTTTGTCCCGATGACCCATCCTGTTCTGGGCTTGTTCCTCAGTCTGTTGATTTCACTCACCTTCCGGTCCTTGGATTCCCTGCCTGGGCCTGTGGAGGCGAACAGCCACTTCCCTGACTTTGTCAGCTGTCTTTTTCTCCAACAAACTGACCTCTTGCGTTCCTTGGAGCAACTGAATCACTGGTTGGCATTTTAGAGCTCCTTATTGATCTGTATTAAAGAATTTAATTGAGGAAATTGCCTTGCTTTTCTGCGCAAGGAGTATTTTATTGTAGCAGAAAGCTAGAGTTCAAAGTACTGTGTATATTTTATTTTAGACTCACCATCTTGCCTTTCTGAGAAATTGATACTGTATTTTGTTCAGTTGGTGAACGCTGTGATTCCTTTCCTGACTTGTCTGCCAACACATTTTTCCATAAACCTAAATGAACAAATGACCCTCCAAACGTTGGGATGGAGCTCCCCTGTAGGGCGGATGTAGATGGACCTGGGTTCCAGGCCTTAGTGAAACTCAGGTTTCAGTGTGAAACTGCTTCCCAAATGGCACTGCAGGAATGTGGTTTGGGTGCTTAAACTGAACTACCTGGAGCATCACTTGCCATTTGTTTTCACAGAACAACACTGCAGAAGATGTCCTGGGAATGGCACCAGGGGGTATTCAGAGAGAAAGCAGCTTGAAAATGACTTCAAAACTAAAGGTTAAAGAAGAAAAACTGTTAAAATACTACATTACTTTCCATTGTTAGAAACCCACGGCTTGCCTGATAATGGAGTGTGTGTGTGTCACACACATCCTGCAGAAACGTCAGCCCTGGAGGAATGTGCTCCCTCTTGAGGCTGGACAGACCCTCCAGGGCAGTGCTGTGGCTCTGCCTGCCCTGCCTTAGGGACAGCCACAGACCTGGGTTGTCGTGGCTTTGAAGGGGCTGCTGCTGTAGCCAAGGGGGCATTTGGCTAATTGGGGCCCTTGCCAGCTGTCCAGGCCTGCCTTGGTCCTGTTGCAGGCACAGAAGGAAAACTGGTGCTGTGTGGACTGAGATGGTGAGGGAATTCTGTGGTTTGCTGGCCGAGTTTCCCTCTTGGGTGGAGGGCAGAAGGTGGTTGTTTTTACTCTAGGCAAGGCTTCAGTCAAGCCTGGAATGGCCACAGGCTCTGCAGGGCTGGGGACCAATGAACTACAAAGGCAAGTGTGCGAGCAGGTGCAGAGAGACTTTCCCCACTGCTAAGTAAGCATGCCTGCTAACTAGCATTTATCAGCGTTCATTACGTACTGCTCCCCTTCCAAGATTCTGGGTGGTTACAGACATGAAACACAAAACAATACAATGGGCCACAAAAGCACCCTTATTGTCAAGGCAGGGTAGCAACCAAAACTGGCAGCTCAGCGTAGTCACTAAAGATTCAAAACCTCATCTGAACGAGGCAGAGGAAGCCAGTAGTAAGGGGCCAGAGTAAGAAGTCCAGAAGGGTTGGGTCCCTTTGGTGAGGCAGGGGCCTAAGGATCCTTTCCCTCGGAGATTGCACAGGATGGGCCAAATGTGGTTGGAGAAGACACCTGGCTGTGCCATGGAGGGCTTCATAGGTTAGATCTGGCACTTGGAATTGGGCTTGGAAAGCTGCTGGCAACCGGTGCCAGAGTGTGCTGGCTATCCTGCAGCAGCCATTCTAGTCGCTGCATTCTGGATGGTTTTGTTTTCAAAGGTAACCCTAACCCTGGTGATAACTGGAGCAGTTGCCATCACCGGGGCTTCCCAACTCGGGAGGGGCTGCAGCTCGTCTGCTAAGTTGCCACCTGCTGCTGTGGCAGGAGCCGTGGCTCCCAGGCCGGCTCTCCTGGAAAGAGCGCCAGCAACTTCCCTTCCCTCCGTGATACGTAGCTGGCCCCGTCCACCCGGCTGGCTCCTGTTGCCGCTTCCCAATAATCCTGCCTCCTCCCCTTCTCTGGTCAGAACGGCTCCGGCTCCTGTTTGGTGGACGTGAGCGCCGTCTGGTGGGAGGCTGCTGACTTTGCGGATTTGTGCATTGTGACAGCCGAGGAGACGTCCGTTTCTCTCTGGAGGCCTCTGGATCTTGGCCAGTGGGGGACGGTGCACACCTGGCGCTTCACGAAGGTAGGCGAGGGTGCTGCTGCTCTGGCTGCCGTGTGTGGTGCCCCCTGAACCTTCTGCAGGCTGGGCGTCCCTTAGGCTGCCCCGGCCGCCCGTGTCTGGAGGCCGAGGGGGGCCTGTAGAACAGGCGCCCTTCTGCGCCGTGGCTTCATCCTTTCCAGTATCTTCTCAGCATGGATACTCGCAGACCTGTGCGCACGTCTGTGCTGAGAGGCAGGGCTTTCCTGGCCCAGTGAAGGTTCAGAGGTGTGGCACTGCTTGCCTGTGCCTCTTTGGGGTTATGAAATTGCAGGTGTTGCTTTCATATGTGCTTAAAGCCTCCAAGGCTTAGCTCGGTGAAAATAGAGCTAAACTGAATGATTTTTTTCTATTATGGCTAAAGGCCACAAGCTTAAAATAGCTGGCAGGGGGTCCTGACAATAAACAATATAAAATAAAAGAGATAACCATAAAACCAGCATAAGGTTCTTCGCTGCAAGTGCTAAGAGCTGGACCCTCGCTACCTGCTGCCACTCCCTGCAGGCTGTTACTGCAGACTGTGCTGTCTGAGAGGTTGCTTTGCAAATAGCCGGGGAGCCGGCATTCACCTGGGCGGTGTGTGAAGAACAGACTGTTCAGCGTTCTGCCATTTGCAGACAGCCCCCATTTTGAGCGCCTGTGTGAGAACCAGGCGTCTTTCGCCAGTCCTATGTGCCTTGAGTAGGGACCCTGTGGTGCTCTGAATATTGCTTAATTGTGGGTCCTTGTCAGCACAGCCGAAGTGTGTAATGCTGGGGATTGTAGCTCCGCAGCACCTTGCGGGCCGTGGGTCCCCCCTACCCCGTTTCCTTTATTCAGGCTGTGTCCAGGGAGGAGCTGTTAACTCTGTTGCTCTCTTCCTGCAGTTTCCAGTTATCCAAATCGTCCCCCTGCCAGGTGCTCTCAGCCTGGTGTGTGTGGTGCTGGGACACCTGGAGACAGCAGAGATAAGGCAAGTTGTAAAACCTCTGCAGAGGTTCAGGTTGTGTGTCTCTCAGCAGCAGAGGCTAATGGGTCCTGAGGCGTTTAAAATGCCGCGTGCTTTCATTCTCAGACTAACACCAAAATTTGTTTGCTCCTTGAAACAAATCCGATCACCAGCTTTAGTGTCCGAGAGAAGCAATTTGGTGCTTCTGTGTTATTCAGGCAATTGCAAGCAATGTTACAGGTAAATCGACGTGACCCTTTGCACAAAAGAAAGCACCTGAGATTTCCATGATTTTATTTCTGCACTTGTCCACCATCTCATTCCTACTACAAATATTAAATCATCATCATCATCATCCCCAAAGCTTTCCAGAGAAGCCAAGTTTCTACTAGCCTCCTGAGGGCCGTGAGGGATGGGGGTGCTCTCCTCTCAGAGGAGAGGCTGTTCCACGGGAGGGGAGTCTCCACAGAAAACACCACCCTCGCTGGGCCTTCTCATGTCTCCTCTGCTGCTAAGTAGGCCCTCACTGACCATTGGGGGGGGCAGATAACAAGGGCACGAGTGAATGTCCTCAGCGCACCCTGTTCCAGATCAGCCGGAACTGGTGTACCAAACAAAGTTGAGCAAAGGCCCTCCTGGCCATGGCGTCCTCCTGCTCCTTGAGCAGAAGCGATGAGGCCAGGAAAACCCTCGGATCGCGAACCCTCCCAAGAGTCAGATGATCCATTCCTGGAATCCGAAGGCTTCTGAAGTCAGCCTCTCCACCTCGCTTGGGTTGAATCTGAGCCTGTTTCTCCCCGTCCAGACCCTGGCAGCCTCCAGGCACGGGACGAGACTGCTGCCACGCCTCCCCTTGGGCCCGGGGTGGAGATATCCTCTGCATTTTGATGATACCTCACCCCAAACCGAAGGGTGCCTTTTGTGGCCTTGGCAGAATGAGACATGCAGCATTTCCTTATTAATTTCTGTGAAAGAGTTGAGAGTCCCTTTAATCTTATTCAAAACAAGAGTCCAACTCACCATTTACAGTATATATCTAGAATTGCAGATGGGAAGCGTTTGATGGGCAAATTCTATAACATTTCTTTCACAATAGCATATTGGTATTTTTATTAGTATGTTACCCCCATCGTATTGAGTTTTCCTAGAATTGCTGTAACTGACATTACATGTTAACTAGTTTTGTTGTTGCATAGACCTAAGATCTTAAGTAGTCCTAAGATCAGAGGTAGACTTCTGTTCTTCTAGGTTTTTGTTCCATTCTTCTGAAGATGGCTGCATTAAAGAGCAGGTGGTCAAAGCTGGAAACATAAATGCGGTTCTTGGTCTGGCAGACAGGAAGCTGGTCAGTAGCTGTTGGTCACTCCAAGGTCAAGAAGTGGAAGTCTTTTCTTTCTCTGAGGTGGGAAGGTGAGGAATGGCTGATTTTGTATGGTAAGCCTCCTCGGGAAGACCCCCATCTCAGAAGACCTCTAAGAAGTAGATAAAATCAATGCAGCAGGGAAGGAAAACAGACTGACTAACATGCCTGGGCAAGAGATGTAGGTGGATAATACCTGTGCCGGTCCTGTTGGCAGTGAGCTCGTTTTCCATCCCTGTAAACTGAGTGCTGAAAATCAGGAGAGCCTGTTTATTCTGCAGGAGCAATAAGAGACGGGCTCTGAAGCCTCCAGAAGAGACCGTTTTGGCTTTTGCTGATGTAGCCGGAGTACAAGAGGCTTTGCTTGGAATGACGACCATGAACTGCATAGTGCTCTGGTAAGCCTCTCTTTGGAACTGGCACCACAGTCTGAATGGTGGAAGTTTCCATTGACGCAGCTGTTTTTCTTCATGAAAATTCTGATTGAGTTCTATAAAGGCGTTATAGTAGATAACCCATAAAAACAAACTTACATATAAGCTGTAATATGCATAAAAGGAAAAACTTTAACTGAAAAGGGGAGGGGGGAGAACTGAAGTAACTGGAAAAAAGAAATTAAAAAAACCTAGAACAAAACAAAAAGAAATCCAAGATTTCAAGATTCCAATATCTTTCTTCAGTACAAAAGTTTTAATTGGGTATTTATGCAGATCTTTACAATTCAGATTTTAAAAACTGAGTTAAGCCTAGGCCGTGTGGAATCCGTTACTGTCCAGCTTTGCCTCTCTGTTGAAACAAAGCGAATTCGAAGATTGAGAGTTGACGTGTTCCATTGAACCAACATTTAAAATCTGGTACATAGACATCTTTCCAGGAGCATACCGTCACCTGTATTTATCAGAGTTCTTCACAAATTGAAAAAACATTTAGAATATAGTTTAACCACACACTGACGCGTGAACCTTCCTTCCCAGAACCCAGTTCACAACAGCAATTATAGCTAATTAATCAGGGGCTACCACTGGATGTGACTGTAACTTGGCACGGAAAGGTTGACAGCTAACCTTTTTTGAACATCCTTTGAAGAGTCCAGTAGATACGAAGAAGTATTTTTGCTGAATCAAATGAGTTTTTAAATCCTACTTGATTACAGAGGGAGAAATGAATTAAGAATGTTTAATGTGATTCAAATATTAAAATCAAGCACATTCAGAATTTGAAGGTTTTTACTGGAACGCCTGGAACTGCTTCAAGACACGGAATGTCAATAGTGCGTGCTTGTCTTACACTTTCTGTATTGCCAGCAGACTCATTTTGGGGTGCCTAAAATGCTCGATATTGGATCTGAGCAGGATTCACCCCTTCCTGGCTTCTCTGGGGATGGATGAAGATTAAGGGGGGGTCCTACCTTTGTCAAAGCTGCTTGCTGATGCCGGACATTTTTTTGTGCACAGCCAGTGCGCTCCACCTGCTTTTACCTGGAGAAAATATTTGTGCAGCAGAGAGCAGGAGGTCACCACCTTGCCCTCCCCAGTGGGTTTGGGCACCAGGTGGGGGGGCAGGGAGGAACTCCTGAAGAGCCCATGGTGGCTCACGAAGGGGGGCAGGCCTTGCTTGAAGCCGTGTGGGCTGGTCAGCTGGGGGTCTGCAACCTGCGTCTCTTTGTCTATGTAGAGAACTAGATACTGTATTTCTGAGATGTAGTAATGGGGGGGGGAAGGGTCATTATTTATTGGAATTGCTTATTTGGTCGATATTATACCCTTCTTACATAGCTATTGAATGGGTCAAGTAGTGCATTTTAGAAAGAGGGAAAACTCCATTACTGCAATTTGTACATTTGGTTTTGCTGATCTTGTTCTTGCAAGCACCCAGGAAATGGGTCCCATTAGGGTTAGAGAGGAGGTGGCTCGGCACGGCCCATGCGCAAAATGAGCAAGGTCTCTGGGCGCTGCTGGGCAGTGCCCTTGGGGACTCCAGGGGGAGAAGCAGTGATGGCCTTTTTGCCTTGTGCAGGAATCTGGGAACCGGGCAGTTGCTGAAGAAGATGCCCGTGGGTTGGTCTTTCCCCGCGTCCGTCTGCCACAAGGCCTACTCGGATTCGGTAGGTCCCTTAAGGCAAACTCTGGGAAACACAGAAAGTACCTGCTGGGGTTTCTGGGGGCGGGGGAGAGGATTCTGCCCTTCCTGTTGCCGAGCTTTCCAGCACTTGCTTTGACTTTCTGCTCAGAGCACTGTTGAGGAGGCAGCCTCCAGCCTTGGAATGTGAACAAGTGGGAGTCTGCATTTCCACGCTTTTGGATAGGAGAGGTTGTGCAACTCCTTTGGTGAATATTGTGGAGGCACTGAGAGTCAGCCAGAATCTAGCAGCTATCCGAGGAGAAGTACCGATCCCTTTTGCAGAACTTTGATATCTGGGAAAATCATACTAAAAAGCAACAAGCTAGGCAAAATAATTAAATCCCATAAAGTTTCCAGTTGATTATGCTTTTAGTTATATTTATAACCAAGGAGAGAGAAATTCTGAATTCCAGAGTGGGACTGAAAATTCGTTCTGACTGATCGCAGCTTGAAGTAGTCTGTTGCTAGGGTCATGTCAGGGATGTGGGGCAATGCCAGAAGGGAGACAGTTTTGGCAGCTGTTCAACAGGCGGACTTTTTTCACGGGCATCTTCTAGAAAAGGGATTTGTCATACTTTCCCTGAGGCCTGCCCAAGTGAATAAGTTTGGATAAGTAGTAAATGTTTTGGGTTGATTTCTTAGAGGTAGGGAAGTGTTTAGAAGTCCAGGGTTTTAAGATTAATTATGTGTTTGGGGAGATTTGAAGGGTGTGCTTTTGAATTCTAGTATGCTTCAAACCCTCAGAATCGAGCAGGCCAGAAGCAGAGAAGATCTCAAAGGTTAGCTTAATGTAACGTGTCTGAACAAGTAAATCATCTTACGACTCAATCTGTTGGCCAAGATGTAATTGAGAAGCAGTTTGGTGTAGTGGTTAAAGGCACCAGGCTAGAAACAGAGGCTGTGGATTCTAGTCCTGCCGGAGAGCCAAAGACAGCTGGATGACTGGGCCAGTCCTTCCTCACCCCAAGGAAGAAGGCAACAGCAAACCATTTCTGAAAATGTTGGCAAAAAAAGACTGCAGGGGCACATCGAGGCAGACTGACTTGAAGGCACAGAAAAAAAAGGGTGGGGGCATGTTCACCCAGTATCCTGAGATGATAACTGGCTTTCCCTCAATCTGCCCAGCTCCTTTTGTGCAACCCCAGCTTAAATGTTGTTTAAGGACCACCATGTGAATGCCTTTCTTATGCATCCCATGCTTCTCTGACTGGTAGAGGAGCTGATGCCTCCATTTGTGTTTTCTCTTGCGGATCAGGGCCTCCTCTTTATGGTTTTAAGCCATCCACATGCCAAAGAGAGCACGTTGTGTGGGAACCCAGCCTTCCAGATAGTTGCGCTCAATCCCAGGACAGCCAGAAGCTCTGGGGTGATGCTCTTGTCCCTGCCCCCAGGAGTCCAAGGAAGGCAA